TGCAGAAAGAAGAGCAGCAGGGGATGGGAATGGCACTTGTGGAGACTGCAGGCTAATTTGTGGCACCCCTGCCAAAAATGTTGACCCCCTACTGGATTAAATGAAGGTGTGTATGACTAGGCCACAACTCTAATGAAAATATTACTGAACTTAAAAAAAGTTATACGTAATGAAATAAAAGAATGCATACATTTCCTTTTTTCATCTTCCTCTTCCCATGTGAGCAACCCAGTGTCTTTATCTTCTGGCAAGAAACGGCCCCTCCCTTTGGGCTGGCTGGCTTGCAGTCTGGCTTTCCTCCTTTGGGAGCTGCTCAGCTATTCCTCTCTACACAAACACAGTCTTTGCACTACACAGACAAGCAAGCAAGCAAACAAAACTCTCATCCCAAGTCTAGACAGTAGGAGAGGTCCTTTGGCTCTGGCCCAGTACTGTCTCATGGCCTCTTCCTGGTAATGAACTTATTTGGGGTCCAATCCACCTCCTGGCCATGAATTACTTCTTCCCATGGCTCAGCCACCTCTGCTCTCTCTTCTGGAGTTTTAACTGCTAACAGGATACTTCCTCATTAGATAACCATCCACAGCTGGACTTCTGTAACAAGGCTGTCTGCTCCCTCTTAAAGGGTTAGGCTGCCCTGTTACAGGGCTTCACTATGATGACAACATCAGACAGCAACTGTCTCCTCAAGAAGGATAGGGAAGATAATCTTCCTTTATCATTCTGTTAGCTGTGGGGACACGCCATATAATTATATGCCCACATATCTCAGTCAACAAGTGAAAAGTGTGCAACACATGGAGTAAATGAAGATAGTTTTAAACAGGAAACAAGCTTCGAGTGACAATATTACTCAGCTCCAAAAAATAACAGATGATCGTTTTTTTTCCAGTATAAAAGATAGAATTGCAATTATGGGGTAACTGTGTATTTGGACCTCCTTATTCTGAACTGGAAACTGATGATTGCATAGTGACCCTGATAAAATTACATTCATTATGAACAAGCAGAGTACAGTCTCAACCACTCATACCCATGGTTCTTCCAAAGGGCTTCTACTATTCCAAAGCCAAGAAAACTATCAGCAATATTGATTGTGAGGAACAATTTAGAAATATCTGAGAGAAAGGTGGCAGCTTTTTAAGAAATCATAGAAATCATAGAGAAGTAGGGCTGGAAGGGACCTCTATAGGTCATCCAATCCAACCCCCTGCCTGAGGCAGGATCATCCCTACCCAAACCATCCTATACAAATCCATATTAGATGGTGAAAGGGAAAAAGAAAGAGGAAAGCTTTATCTAAAAGCCCATCCTGATTTAATGGCAAAATGACAGCAGAAATTAGAATTTAAAAGCATCATACAGCAAATGAGAAAAACATGGGGAAATAGACAGCAATCAATATAAGTTAAAGTTGTTAACTACAAAACAACAATAAAGGAAGCTAAAGGTATCAGGAAAAATTCTATGGCAGTCAGGACAATAGAAAATACATTTTTATTGGCAGGACAATACAAAAGACATTTTTAAGTATCTCAGGAACAAAGAAATCCCAATAACTAGGCCCATAACTAGATGTAGGTAGAAAAATTGTTAATAATGATGTAATAAAGGCAGAAGTATTCAGTAAATATTTATTTTCTGTATTTGGAAAGAAGGAAGGTAACAGTCATTTCACAATAGTACAATGACTAGTTTTCCAGGCAGTCTTAAATCAGCAGGTTCAGATAATTTGCACCCAAAAGTCTTAAAAGAGTTCACTGAGGAGATTCCTGGTCCACTGATATTCATTTTTAGTATATATGGGAATCCCAGAAAATTTCCAGAAGACTGGAAGAACATTTGTTGCTCCAATAACAGAAAAACAGAAGTAAAAACAGAGAATCCAAGTTATTATAGGCAGTATAGACAACAAGTTTAATCAAAAGCTTAGAAGAGCTGGTATGAGAGTCAATCAGTAAAGAAATAAGGTATGGCAATGCAATTAATCCCAGTGTATATGTATTTGGGGGGAGGAGAACATTTTGTCAGACAAACATGCTTTCATATATGGATGAAATTACAAGTCTCTGATTAAATGTCATAAAGTAGATGTAACTAACTGTTTTGTAAGGCATTTGAGTTCTAAGGACATGATGGCATTCATGTTCCTAGAGTTTGTGTCAGGGACCTTCTGACAAACTGGAATGAGCTGAATTTGTCGGGCCCTGACAGAAAGCATCCCATTGTACAAAAGAAACAAGCTGAAGATTTTTGGGGGCTACTGTTAATAATATTTGCTCACTTGTTGTTAACAGGCAAGGGTCTCAGAGGACTGGAGAAGTGTTGGCAAGAAGATGTGGGGGGAGAACAGAGAGTCTGGAGCGTAAGAGACTAACCAGTCTGACTTCAATACCTAAGGAACTATTTAGAGCAAGTTATAAGACAGTCAACTTGTCAAGAGCTGGAGGAGGAATGTGGCGAGCATAGTGTAATCTGGACTTTAGTGAGACTTTGGACATCTTATGCCTTTCTCATAAGTAAGCTAGAGAAATGTGGGCTAGATAGAACTGTCTTTTGGGGGATATATAACAGGATGAACAGAACCATAAAGCAAAGGGTAACTATTAATGCATCAGATCAGTAGGAAGTCCCAAATAGAATCCATGGGGTTTGTTCTAGGTCCAGGTCCAGGGCTGTTTAATGACTTGGATGGAGAGATTAAAAATATATTGATCAAATGTGTAGATACACAAAACTGAGAAGGGTTGTGGGCTCTTTGGATCATGACATTAGAATTCAAAGGGATCTTGAAATATTGGAGAACTGGGCTAGAGAAAACCTAATGAAATTCAACAAAGACAAATGGAAGGCACTTAACTAATTTGGAAGACAATCCAAATGTGCAAATACAAATGAAGGATAAGGGATAACTGCCTTGGAATTGCACTGCTGAGATGGATCTGAGGGGGTTTACAAATGCAACATGATTTTGCCATAAAAAACCCAAAACAAATGCACGCTTGGTTGCATTAACAGAACTACTGTCTGGGGGCAAGGGACATGATAGAACCACTCTGCTTACTGATGGCTAAAGCTCAGCAAAGTTTGGGCACTAAATATTACAAAGAAAATACAGACACTGGAGACAGTCAGAGGTGAGACAGAAAGATGACAAAGTGGTTGGACAGCAGGCCACACACGTTAAAACTGAAGGAAGTAAGTATGATTACTTCAGAGAGACAGAGCTTAAGGGACAACATGAAAGCAGGTATCATGATGGAGAAGCATTGCTCTCCCTTGCCACAGAGAGAAAGTCAAGAACTAGTGAATTTAAATTATAGCGAAGCAAATTTAGTTAAAAATTCAGGAGAAACGTACAAACCGTAACAGCAGTAGGACAGTGAAACAGTCTGCCCATGGAAGCTGAGGAATTGTCTTCCCTCTAGATTTTCAGGAACAGCCTGAATGGACACTGGTCCGGACTGGATCAGGACCAATGTATCCCCATGTATTATGTGGATTAAGAATTGGCTACTTAACAACACTGAAAATGGAACTGCCATGTGAAAGCAGGTCACGTACCCTGCAGAGTCAGCTTTGCTTTCAGGTTCTCAAACCAATTTCTTCTACGCAGCACAATTTTCCTCCCACAAAGAACAGAGTGACCAACCAATCAAACAGACCAAAACCCCGTTCTCCTCCAGATATTAAAAAGGGGCATTTTTAACTCTGTGCTGTCTTGGAGTTTTTAAGTCATGTTGTGGTTCCACACTCATTAGATGGTTATTATCACTTCCAGTTGGCCCCCAGCATCCCAGTCAGGCACACTATCTTTTGCTGTCTCCCTGCAAGCCTCTGAGGGCCATGGACATTCCTATACCATGATTTTGGGCAAATGTTAGATAAATGAAAGACATTTCTTCAGCGCTAGCATAGGGCACAGTGGCTCCCTGCAGCAGGAAGAAGCACAGCTGGACTGAGTGCTGCTGTCCTCCCATGGCAGCTAAATTGATCAATCTCAATCTTAGCTGGGAACTCTTCTGTCTCCCTAGGATGTGGGAGGAGAAGAGTTGATCCTTGGAAGCCCTTCCCCTCCCCGGACAGTACTGTATGCAAGGACAGCTATACAATCCTTTTCATGTATGTGTAATTCCCCACTCCGCTTCCTCGCCCTTCCTCCCCCCCGCCATCCCCCAACCCCACTCCCACCAGTGCAGATGAATAAACAGCATTCAGCACCCACCAAGGCAGCCACATGTGATACAGGCCTTGAAGATCAGGGCAGGAATCAGAACAGCCCAGGGGCTCAGCCGGGGACAGCCTCCCTTCTCCTCAGCAGGGGCTGAAAAACACAAGGCAAGAGCAGGGATCGCGCACTGCCAGGGCCAGGAAAGCAGGAGGTAACTGCCACCAGTCGGTTCCCAGCACAGTGTCCAGGGACAGGGGGGAAGAGGGAAAATTTCTTGAGGACCACAGATGGATTCTGCTACTTGTAATTAGAAAGTAGGTCACATGCAAGGGCTGAAGCCACTACTGCATTTCTATTGCAGCTCCTATTGCACCTTCCTCTGCCCCCACGCCTGACTCCTCCTTCCACCACTACACCGTGTTCAGGGCAGGAATCAGAACAGCCCAGGGGCTCAGCCGGGGACAGCCTCCCTTCTCCTCAGCAGGGGCTGAAAAACACAAGGCAAGAGCAGGGATCGCGCACTGCCAGGGCCAGGAAAGCAGGAGGTAACTGCCACCAGTCGGTTCCCAGCACAGTGTCCAGGGACAGGGGGGAAGAGGGAAAATTTCTTGAGGACCACAGATGGATTCTGCTACTTGTAATTAGAAAGTAGGTCACATGCAAGGGCTGAAGCCACTACTGCATTTCTATTGCAGCTCCTATTGCACCTTCCTCTGCCCCCACGCCTGACTCCTCCTTCCACCACTACACCGTGTTTCTCTCCCAGTTCCTTTCCCTGCACACCTCCTCTTATTGCCCCTCATATCTCCATGGCTGGTACCTCCCATTTCTCTCCCTAATTTGCTCCACCACATCTTTCTCTCCCTCAGTTCCCTCCTGTCATTTTTTCCTAAATCTCTCCTTCTCCACCCTTCAATCCTCCTCTGTTGCTTCCCTTCCACTAATTCCTTGTTTTCTATCCATTCAGCTCTTCCTCTCTTCCATCCCCTTCTCCTGCAGCTTCCATCTCTCTGTGTCTCCATCTTCACCTGTCCCTCAATAGAACAAAATTCCAGGTCCATCTGTCAAGTAAAGGGCACCTAAAGGGCAGCACAAGGAGGAAACAAATGGGCTGGTAGCAGAAGGGCTGTTTTTCTGGTGATAATTGTGACAGGGTCTTCACAACACCAGGAAATGCTCAGGTTAGGAGATCAATTAGCCAATCATCTATGGTATGGAAGTGATGTTCATGGCTGGAGTCACACAAAGGAGTTCACCTGCTTAATGTTACTGAGAAGAGGCAGCCACTCCTCTGTGGGAACTGTTTGTGTGTTGCCATTCAAGGGAACTGCAGGTCACTGAATCACTCGCTAACATTTCATTCTCCCTTCCCCTTCGATCATGGCCCATTCTGCCCAGCCTCCTC